CTGCTCTTTAATGTTTTCATCATTACTCAGGCTTTGTTGATGGTGTTGATTTACCTCAACAACTTTAATGAACAAAGATTAACTAGGGTTTGTTTATGTATCTTTTAGAAATCCTCTGATTCTGATAGTCCTAAACTCTCTGCTGAGCTACAAAGGTGCTGAGGCAGGTGCAACCCAGTACCAGCAAGGTGTTCCTAATACAGAGGCCGGCTGGTGTTTGCATGGTGTATAAAGACATCAGTCACAGAACAATAAGAGCCAGTAGGTGGCAGCAGAGAAGCTTCAGTTTGCCCAACATGTGATGATTTTCATCTGACCTTTGACCTTCACAGCATCTCCTCTCAGGATTGACTCCTCCCTGCTTGATATGCCTGCTGCTTGTGTCTGATTTTCCAATTCTTTTATGTAGCATTACATATATTCTGTGTACATTCCTTGAGCCAGTATAGAAAGCACAGCTCATTTAGATCACACAGTTTCACTCAAAAGACACACAATAACTTTTCCACTCCAAATTATGTTGACTGAAATTAAATCTTGTATATTAAATGGACATATAAGGTAACCTAAGATTAGCATGTTAAGAATGAGATATAAATTAGAAATATATCAAGTGGAAGTCTGCTGCCATCTACTGGTAATGCAGGAGCAGAGCTGCAGATTTGAATGACAATAAGAAACTTGGAAATGATTTAAAAGTGTCCAAAATATAATATAAAAGGGTAATCATTAAATGAAATTAAAGTTACTAATAGTGTTAGGTATTATTGATCTTTATTATTATATCTTTATTTATTATCTGCTATTACACCAAAACGTATAGCATACTTAAGTTAACAGGGAAATATGGAACTGTAGGAAAATATTGTTGTTCTAATGACCACGACATTACATTGTACTTAAAACTACTTATTATATTACTTATGGTGCATCTCCTTTCAAGTAATATACTTGTAATGTCAAGTGAATTGCCTTGGAATGACATTTAATTGCAGTGTAATTACAACTTGTTCACAAGCTGGGTTTTTTTGTTTGTTTGGTTTTTTAAGTATAAAATGTACATGAATCACTCTCAGTCAGGAGCCTGATGTTAGATCTTGACTCATGGAGAGGTTCGCATTTGATCTGAAGGCAATGAGGACCACAGACAAACAAACACAACCAAAAACATAATGACGGTAAAGTAATGGTTAAGGAGAAACACTTCAAGGTCATGGAGGAGCCAGTCCCCAGACGTCACTGCTGTAAAAAATCTGTTGAGGGAGCTGAACCATTGGGATGCCAAACGGCAGCCAAGAAACCTAAAGAAGTAAAACAGTTTTCATAAAGAGAAGTGGGCCTAAGAAATGCCTCACCATCTGCTTGAAGAACTAATTCTTAATTCACTCAATGACTCAATTGTTTCTTTTTTCTTGTATTTCTCACTGCAAGTGAGCAAAAATACAAAGAGGATCAAATAACTATTCCCCCAACAGTATACAGTATAAGGGCACATTTGTATAAACACATGAATGAGAGAGTAGGAAGGAGAATGAAAATTTCATTTGTATTCCCTTCTTTAGTTTTTTTGAATTAATTTTGTAAATCTACTGATTATTTAGTATCCACTAATAGTACTACAAACATTAAACATAATACATAACCTTATGTTTAATGCTTTTAGTACTATTACCAGTGCTTATAAATAGAAAAATGAT